AATTTGAATAAAAATTAGTATTAAATACGTAATTACATATAAAATCTATTATTACATGATGAAAAAATAAAGTTTCAAAAATGTATTCACAATTTTCTTGGAATAAAATATAAATAAAGTTTAAAAAACAATGATTAGTTAGTGAAAGAAGTTCAAAGTGTTTCAAATCGTTTCAACCAGCAGTTGAGTTTGCAAAAAATTTCAAAAATAAAATGCTTTGCTACGCCTTAAGGTTATACACGCAACGCTTACTGTTAAGCACCTCAAACACTTTTCATTAAAGTGCAAACATAGAAGAATGACGAGTCAAATTATTAGCTTTTATTGAAGTTTAAGTAGCTTCTAGTAAATATTTACTTCATGTCACGATATTCTTTATTAACATAAATCATCAAATGGATTAAGAAATTCCATTACCTATCATTTAAATGTCCGTGGCATGCATTAATAATATAAAAAAAATGTTTGTTCCCTTTCATGTTATTATTTACCTACTTTAAAATGAATTGTGATAATTAATAGAAAAGAATTTCAAAATCTTCCTGGTTAAAAATGCAATAAAATATTAATTATTGTAGATATTTACAAAGTACACAAATATTTCATTTAATTGAAGAATATTTCCCAACGACACCCTTCAAAATAGTTTATTCAGTCATAAAAGTTTTATCTAATCAAACATAATCCCAAGTAAATCAATTGTCACGTAAAAATATTTTAACACATCAAATAAGTGTAACAAGAGTCTACTGCATATTAAGATAACAATCACGGTGTTAATCTTTTGTATAATTGAATTTAAATGTTCCAAATGAACTGCTCGGTAACGATTGGTTCAATTGAAAACGCCTACTTTTGAGTTGATTCAATTTAATATTCAATTCAATAGCAAACGGTAGGTTCACACAACAACACTACGAATATTTTCTTCATTCGATGGAAAGAAGAAGAATATAAAATGTGGAAAGACGAGGGTTGAAAACAGAGTCGCATTCAGTTTTATTTCTTGTGGAAAAATGTGTCAAGAATGATTGAAGTGAGTTTATGTGAAGTGAATGTGAAGTCAGCAACTTCATCCTTAATACCAACCTTAGAGTCGTGCGCTTCAAACGGTTTTTAACCTAACCATACCATGGCAGTAGCAGTATGCTTTCGGTTGTGTGGCATGAAAGAAATACTTCATGCTATGCATTATTCTCTCCGGCTTGTATATACGACGATTCACTATATATTTTTTGTTCCGCCTTTTTTTCTGATTTTCTCGCTCTTTCACACAGTTCAGCACTTGTTCTCGCTGCTGTTGGTTATATTTTTTTCGTTTTCACAGTTCTTGATCATGCTTGAAATTTCAATAAATCTATGCGTTTTCGTGGAACGTTTTTCGGTTCTTTATTTAGTGTGAAAATTTATTTCGTGAACGTTGTTTATCTTTTGATAATCGTCTTGAAATTATTGAAGTCAAATAAGTTTTTTGTGTGATGTTTTCTAAAATAAAATAAGAAAACTTTTCAAAAATTAGTGATAAATTATTCTTGAAATAAAAAAAGAAAAATTTGGATTATAGCAAAGGAAGATTAAATTAAAAAGTGAGTTTAATATTCAACATAAATATTTATTGACGATAATTCAAAAATGAAGTTCAACATACATAACTCAACCACACAATGTTCTTTGATGTAAATTCATAATTTAATCGTGTTAGAACAAAGTTGCTATCACATTGCATATAAATCACCATCAAGCATGTACTTTTTATCATGAAATGTGTGGCATAATGTTCCACACTTTCCAATGACCGTTTCACACGCCAACGCTTCAAAATAATTAGTGAAGAATTTGCATTTTATTCTCTCTCATGTTATTTTATTCTTTCTGATATGGTTTTTTAAAAGCTTCAACATGTGGCTTATCTTAGATGAAAAAGAATTTTGAATATTTCTTATTTATAAAGAGAAATGTTTGAACGCAAGAAGCAACTCTGATTTATTTTATGTTGCTTAATGAAAGAATATGAATGAAAAGCTGATTCTTGATAACAAATTAAAATTCTAAAAGGTAGCTGAAAATCTATGAAATCCCACAAATTAAAAAATCAATTAACGTTTTATGTTTATAATAGTAACACGATAGACCTTCGCTGGTTTAAATAAACTTTGATTTCATTCATCAAACATTTTAATGATTTTG